GAGAAATGTTAGGCTAAGCACTAACAGCATGCAAATAATGCAAGCCCTGCAGGGAACCAAGCTGCAAAGTGGGCTCTGGGTGCATATATGTGCATAGATGGCCTTCTCAACCATGTTCAAGCTATAGCCCAAACATCAGCCTGTAAATGGGGCTGTAAATAGCAGCAAGGACACAAGACTGCTTTCAGCAGGACACAAATCATTTCCTTCTTTCAAACCCACACCAGCCCTGCTGATGGATGCAGTACACCAGATCCCCTTACAGGGAAACGACAGTAGCATCCTTTTTTTTTTTTTTTTGACAATTAAGAAAAGTCCTCAGTTAAAATTGCTGATTTCTCTTTGGCAGAGGAAGCGTTTCTGCTTTGGACTCCAGAGCTGCTGTAGAGTTTAATTCCCAAATGAGGTATTCTAAGGACAAAGTCTCAGTTTGTTTATGCAGGCAGGGATCAGTGATGAGCCTTGAGAAGGTCAATGTGAAGTTTAGCCAATGACTTGGGGTTAATTTTCTTAAAAAAGGATCCGTTTTGTATTTATTCTTACATTCCCAGTGTATTTTGGAGTCAGGCTGCACACACTCAGTTTTCAGCTGCTTGGGACCCCCATGCTGTTAGCTGCTCTCTCAGCCCTTTGGGGTAGTTTGTGTGCTGACCTTCATAGCCACTGCAGCTGCACTTTGGGGAATATTTGGGACTTTTTGAAAATGCCAGCACTTTCAGAAAAGTTTTCTTTTTAAATTGGTGCAAGATCTAGCTGTTTTCTGCTCCTCTTACCTCCAAGACACAGATGGATGTCTGAGATGCTAGGGCCTGAGCAGATCATATCTTTTGTGTAAATGACTTCCACACCATGTTGGGCCATGCCCAGCTCGAGGAAGGCTGTTAACCTGCCCTGCATGACTGTTTTCACCACTGCACACAATCTGGGCTGCCTCCATGCTCACAGCCACCTGGCCAGCAGCAAACCTGGGCTCTGAGGCTGACACTGGTCAGGAGCAGGATACACTCACTCACTGGCTCTTCATGGCAGTAATTAATTTTTATAAATGAGGGCAAGGGAAAGGCTGTTAGAAACAGATTGATTAGAATTGGCTTTTAATTAAAAATTTTCAAACCATAATTTAAACTTTAAAAATCCTATTACTTATCTTTGCAATTTCATAGGCACTGAGGCAGTGGGCAATAATGTAACTAATGATCTGATTGTCACTGGCTTGTATAATGAAGCATGTCTGGGGGTTGACCAGATTATGACATCAATCAAACCCCTTTGCAGCATTCCCTCCTACTGCAGAGCTCCCTGCAGGGCTGTGTTTGCCTGCACCAGCTCCCTCCCAGCTGTAACCTTTATTTTCTCTCCCCAGAGCTCCTATGAGGGGAGCAAAAGGCAGGCTGTGAATGATGATCCTCTGGTCATTGTTATGATACTTCAGAGACTATTTTTCTGGGAGGTGGCTGGTTAGTAGTTTTAACCTGCCAGTAAATCATATTTATCATACCAGAGTTACCGACCTAAGAAGGGTCCAGAAACAGCGTCCTGCCACCCCAGCTCTGGCACAAAGAGGACAACAAGGTGTTGTCTGGATTAATGGAAGGGTGATGGCCATCGACATGCTGTGGCATAGCTGAGCTTCGAGAAGAGAAAGCTTGGTTTGAAGATTCCATGGGAGGAGGCTGAACTGAATAAAGATTTGGGTGGCTGTGCTCAAGGCTCGAGCCCCACAAGGGTGCCTGAGTGGGGCTTTCACAGACTGGAGCAGTGTGCAAGTGTCATGCTCCAGAACCTGCCTCACAGCTTGGTTTTGTGTGCACTAAGACAGAGGGTCTTCAACAGTACATCCTGTCCTGCTGCATGGCTGCCCCACTGCTCCAGACTTGCCACACGCACCAGCATTGCTTTTGGGCCACATTAAAACACCAGGCTCAAATGTACCAACACAAGACCAGCTTCTTGAACAGCTCAAATGTCTGCACACTGGGGAAAGACGGTTCATCTAGAAAAGTTCATGTCATCACCCACTCTGATCACTGGGTTCCCCCTCAGGTTAACTGCGAATGAATTTGGCATTGTCGGATTTAGCCACTATGAGATCAAAAATAGTAGGAGGTTAGAAAATATATCAGCCCATTAAGTCCCATTGCCCAAACTGCCTTAGAAAGGCATACTGACTTGCTCTCGTGAACAGACAGGTCTAAGCAGACAGCCCCAAGCCCAGCTGTAATGCACCTGATCCCTGTGCTTAGAAACATAAACCCAAACTTTAAAAGAAAGTCTGAAAGTGATTGCAGAGTCCTGGGAAATAATTTGGTAAATTAATGGAAATGGATATTATTACAGAGATATAATGAGTCCTTGCTCCAATTACTGCATTAGCTTAAAGATCTCAGCCAAATCGTTTTCTGCAATATGTCTGCTCCACAACAGGCCTCAAATACCAGCCATGAAAAAAAGAATAACAATTAATTTGTCATCAAAGATCAATAGAAAATGTTTTAACCTATTCAAATGTAGTTATTAAAGAGGGGATTTTTTTCTTTAAGTCATTACAATTGATAAGGATAAAGAACTGTTGCCTCATTAGAGAAAGTGGTTGCTTGCAGATGCAGACATTTTTAACTACTTTCCTCTGCTGGCTCAGTACAACAGCCTTGGGAACAGGTAAAAGGCTGTTGTGGCCTCACACTCTGTTTCCTCCAGTGTGTTTTAACATACGAGTGATAAGGTTTAAGCCTTCTGTGATTGAAGCAACTGGCTGCAGCACCTGTCTCACAGCTAGCCCACATCCTTAATGAGCTGCGTCTTGCTGGTGCTGGAAAGGGCAAGACAGGTTCTTGAGAAACCAGGAAAATCTGGCTCCTGGCTCAGCCCACTCTGGAGCACCGTGACTGGAGCCATCTCCTGATCCCAGGAGGAAGAGCTCAGCCCTGGGAGCAGGGGCAGTGGGGAACCAGACCTGCACCGGGCCAGGGTATGGCTGGGCCCTCACCCCAGTGCCAGCTGACAAAAGTACTGCTCTGCAGTACCCTCCAGTTTGGCACCTGAGGCCACCAGAAAGCTCAATACAACCCATTTGGTGGGGGGGTGGAGGAAGGGGGGTGGCATCTCTGGGCAGCCAGGAACTACCTGTATTCTCAGTTTTAGTGTAAATGAGACAAGCTTTTTTGATTCTATTTGGTTCCGCCTTGAGGAGTTTTCAGTTAGAAAAGTCTCTTACCACAACCTCCAGTGTTACAATTCACTTGCTCAGCAATAGATACCGTTTTTCTCAACCAGAACATGACAACGGTTTCCTTTTTCCTTCCTCCAGGCAAATGCTTTCACAGGTACATACACCAGTAAATCAGCCTTCTTGTCTATTAATACCTCTGGGTTGTGTTCTTCAGGGGAGCTGCCAAACTGCTCATGAAAGTTCCATGAAGCATTAGCTGAACCTATCGGGTTCCTCACAAACTGAGCAGGCTTCAACTCCAGGACTTGAGGCATGCCTTTACCTCAATGGAATTCACACCTGTACACCATGAAAAGAAAAAGAAAAGCAATAGCTGCCCCCAGAGGGGGCTTAACTCACACTAAGTAGGAAGAGAAATATGCATGTACCAAAGTGTAATTAAACATCACTGTTAACAGTATACGCTTTCCTTTGCCACTTGGCCCTTCTCCTTGGGCCTACTGAACCCATTCATTTACAAAACAAACGACCCAGTGCTGTTAGCACATCCTGCAGTTGCTTAATTTACATAATGTAGGCTATCTGCTGCAGATTTAGCTGTTGCAAGTTGTCCTCATTCAAGATGCAGTGGTGTTATGTGCAGTGTTCGTGCTCAACATTTCACTTTCATCCACATTTGGAGTTGTATTTTGTTTGTGGCATAAAGGCAACAGAACATTTTCTACCACTACTATTGTTAGCAGTGCTTTAATCATGATACTTTGAAACCCAAACCTGACTTTGGGCAGTTCACAAAAGGTCACCCTCAGAAATCTTACGGAAAGTTGGCATGTGTGCAACCCTTTACATACATTTATGCGGGGCACAGAATGTTTTTAATTGAGTTAGAAGCCCATCTTTCAATGTTCAGTCACAAGCCTGGAGAAAAGCAAGTGATCTCTACCATATATAATGCATTAGCTAATTGGAATGAACTTCCCTGTGTCTTTGAAAAGACTACATAGTGTCAACTTTTGTGCTCTGCATGATGTAGTACAGATGGGGACAAGGGGAACACCACTCTACACGCAAAGCTCCTTCAGCACTCAATGCTTCAAACAAGCTCTATCTACACTCTCTCACAAGCAGCTGTCAGAAGAAACCACTCTGGGGTGACCCCACTTCACTTGGCATTTGTGAAGCCTCCTGTCACATTGATTACAACCCCTAACCTCTGACTTTTCCTCAGACTGTGCTAATTTGACACGGGAGGGAAATCAATGTTGCTTGGTTGTGTTGGACTATACTGACCTGCAGTACTTCATGCAGCAGGGATTTCTGACTGCCTTAACTACTGCTCAGTCTGACCAGCCATCTGCTTGTGCTAACTGAAAAGCAATAATTAAAAACACATGTCCTTTCTGATCACCAGTTTTCTTCCTGGTACCAGGCCCACTGCTGGTTTCAATTCACCATCCAATTTTATTTCTTGCCCTGTGTGACTGGCTTTGGGGCTGCCATGTTATTCCAAAGCTGACGAATCTTTCATCAGCTTTGCTTTCATAACACTTCTACTGATTATGCTGTGCCAAACTAGTCTTTTAAAAACTCCTACCTGCAACATCTTTAATCAGCAACCAAAATGGATAACAGGTACAACTCCCTATAAAAGCATCAGGGACCTTACAAGGACCTCTGCTCTAAAACCCTTTCATTACACTGAAACAGTAGTTTTGCTCCCAAGACTTTCTGAAGATCTTTCATGATTACTTTCTTGTCTCCTGCCCTTAAGTCCAGCTTTGGTCACTTCTGTCACATGCCAGCTATTGGACAAATGAGAAACATGAAGAAATCAGTTTTGTAACAAAATTTATTTTTTCTCTGTGGATATAAATCCCAAACATCAACAAACAAATTCCAGTGGAAAAATACCAGTCATCAACAATGAAAACTTTTATTATTATTTAATAAATAGAACTTTGGCATTCAAAATTCTAGCTGTAAACCCTACTTTAAAAAAAATTACAAAAAGAGGCAAGAACAACAAGCCTAAAGCTGAGCCAGCCAGTGGCTCCTTTACTTTTTACAATGAACACATTGTGATTAAGTCATGACAACTCTATTTACATATTGAGGTATTCTGAGCGGTTCACAAACTGAACCCAATTTACAAAACTACCAGTCTTCAGGGACTGATCCAATACATATGTCAGCTGTGCTTTTAAAAGATAGCTCCAGATGCTCCTCCCCACTGAACTAATGATACACTGCAATTTATATAAGCAAAATGAACACATTATGGTTGGAGTTTCCTGCTCACGCTGCATACTGCAACCAGCCTAACATTCAAAGTGTACACCTAGTACCCAGTTTAAGTACTTCTGTTTCTAGACATCATGCGAGAGTTCTGACTACAAAAGCTTATGAACAAAATATCGGCAGGTAAGAAGAAAACAAGGTGCAGTCATCAGCATCCTAATAACTCCTCTAAAGTTCAAGGGAATATACACTTCAGGCAAAAAAAGGCACAAAGGTATGCAGCTGTGGAATTAATATTGCTAATGAGCTATGAGAAGAAGTCATTCCTTTAGATAATGACCACTGATTTGTTTGCAGTCTAAGAATGCAGATTAGTTCAGATGATGTTTTTCCCACTCATGACAGAACTTCTCAGATCAATGAGAAGAGCCCAATTATAGTTCCAGCTCCCCCTGCATAACATCACTGATAAGGACAAGGAAAACTGGAGCAAATTATGCCCCTGCAGAGAGACTGCAGCTTGCCGTTGCTGCCTGTGCTAGGACAGCAGGTCACAGAGAAAGGGGTTTGCTTCTTTTCCTTGTGCTCTTACCCTGCAAGGGAAATGTCAACCCTCCCCTGCCTTCATTTCAAACAAAAGGTGGGCAACAAGAGCAAAGGAAGGAAACCTTTGTAAGTGAAATGGACGAAATTTCAGCTCTTATAATGACTTCATGGCCACCAGCAGTTTCAAATGCTGGAGCCCGAGTGCATAGTTACAGCAATCTCCACAATTTCACACAACTATCACACTACAAAGCTGCAGAGCAGGGGCGAGCAACCTAAATCACACTTACACAACTGAGCCGCGTTACTTCTATACTATATAGTAAATACATAGCATCACCTATAGCTTGTCTGAAGACAGTTACTTTCCAAGCCTTTTTCAAAATACATTCTTGAATACAGTAGTTACTGTAAATATCTTTTAAAGGATTGTATAAATTCAATCTGAAACTATGCAGAATATTACTGTACAAATTTGCTGACAGCCAGAAGAGTACAGTATGCATTCATGAGCAGTTGGTTTTCAGCCCTTGAGATTGTCTAATAGCTACAGCAAGAAGTTGTCATGACTAAATCTAAGCAATTCCAATGTTAACTTTCGTTAATCAACTCTGTATTAAATACGCTGAATGAGACCACACACACTACATTTTAACCAACAACCATGCATATCTTAGACAAAGTTTATTCCATTTAGAGGCATCCATAAACTGATGCAGATATAATAATTGCTACTACTACAACAGGCCAAATTTTAAGAAATCAAAGGAAAATAGTGGATCACTGTAGACAGTCAGTTGGTAGTCTGCATCTTTGGCTCATACATCCATCCTTTCTCTCCCTACTTTAATTTGACTGAGGCAGATGAACTCAGGGTTTTTTAAAATCAAGTGCTTTAAGGTCAACATAAATATTACAGGGTTCATAATAAAAATATGACAGTGCAAGATTAGAGCACTGTAATAAAAGTATTACAACTAAAATGGGTCCTCCTTTCTGAGGGACTTTCCAACTAATACTTGAAGAGCATAAAAGCTCCTGAAGTGCTTTGCAAATCTAAAATTACTGATCTCAACTCTGCAGTACAGTATCACCATGTAAGTGGAGGGACGATGGAGGCACACCAGCCAAGGTACCATCTTAAAAGCTCAAAGGGACTCAAAAAAACTCGTGCTCCTCCCTAACTGCTCTGTTAAACTCATTATTTCCACCAAATTTACTAAAATACGTTGCTTGTTAATTTTTATAGGTACAGCATTTCCATGTAAGGAAACAATAACATGCAACTTGGGTGTTGCCTCTCTCCCTAACACTTCTAGTTTATTCTCTGAAATGCTATTGTTGAATTCTGATATGAGACAGGTATCATGAACTGGAGACTATAATGTCACTGCAGGGCCACCACCACCAATGAACTACACCTAAGGAACGAGCCGAGGCCCTACTCACAAAAGCCGGTACTGTTAGAGGCACAGGAAACTGTACAAGCCCATTTGTGCAAAGAAAGATCCTTGTTTTCAGTTTTGCACTCTAGTATAAAAGCACACCTTCAAACCTACAGAAAGAGCACAGAAATTTAAAATAAGATGGCCTGGGTTTCTTTTACCCTGAAGTAGACACACTAGGCAATTTCACTTGAGATTTCATCTAGATGCTGTTTTACTGCTCACAGGCGCTGAACCAGTCACATTAATCTATCTGAAAATACCCTGTAGCAATAACATAAATAACAACACTTTTTTTTTTTTTCACAAATTAGTCCATGTTTCAGGATAGAGAAAACTGTCAAATAAATAAGTCCATATAGCTAAAAAATCAAATCACTAAATTATAAAAACAACATTAACTGTTCAACAATGAAAAGAAAGCAAAACATCACCAAGTTAAAACTGGTAGCCGGTCTACACTGCTATGCCTTTTTTTTTTTTCCTGTTAACACAAATATAATCAGAAAACTGAAGATATTAACACTTCTGCCATAAAAATCTTGCCCTAGAATTTTCTTGGTTCTAATTGCTAAACATTCTAAGAGATTTCTGCCATTATCCACACTATGGGTCAGTTGACTGACTTGAAACTTAGTCATTTGAAACTTTCTTTTAATACCACATTATGTAGCTGATGCTCATACACAGTGTGATCTGAGAGTGGTTTTGCTCTTTGCAGGTATTTGTTTCCTTCAGTTAAATACTATTTTACACCATGCATAACTTGCAGCAACGTTTCAGGAAATCAGAAGCCTTAATGTCATCTGTCGCAGAGGAGTGAAACAGCACTGCCAAGTGACACTCACTGAATAAACTATGGAATATGATCTTAATTGTTTAAATATAATTGCTTCCTACATAAATGGAGAAATAAAGAATTCCCAGACAATGTGGGAAATTTTGCAGTCCTCAGATAACCGAATACTTAATACTGCTAAGTGGGAACATTCTGTCTTGAGCCCTAATTTTGCCAAGTGCCAAACATTCGTTTTGTAGCTGTGGTAAAAAAAAAGGTTTGAGGTGGTTCACAACCACCTGAGAGGCCTTCAGGGATGGAACACAGACCACCCATATTTTAAAAGTGAGATGACCTAAGGGAAAAGTAAGTATGGTACAAACACCAAAAAGTACAGTGGGTGTTTTCCCCAACAGCCACATACTATGCTGAATTTTCATGCCTTCCAACTTCTCTGGGTTTGTCACAGACTTCACATTATCAAAACTTCTTACAGCAATGTGAAAGTGCTTAAAACAATTTGAAAGCACTATATCTTATGGATTTCATTTGCATAAAGGAATTAAAACTTGGGTCTTCTGCTTTTGGACAAACAAGCTAGACATCCATTCCTAAAACCAACATCTTCCCTGTATCAAATTTTTTATGCAACTTGAAGAGCAACTACATTTTGTAGTGCTCCAAGATTGTTCCAACTGCAGTTCCTAGAGTGAAGTGCAGCTGCAGAAGACTCTGGCTTCCCCACACACAGCTACAGGTCCTTTGATACTCTCCTCTCAGAACACAGATAATCCCATACAAACCTTTGATGAAGGAAAGGACTGAGAGTAGCAGCAGCAGGGCTGTTTTGATGCTCCGATTCCAGAAATAAGGTAAATTAATAAAATGAACCCTAATGAAGGAAACAGTGTCCAACTGAATCATTCTTCACAGCTTCTTCCTACATTCAGTAGTTTGGAGAAAAGGTTTCTTGTAGTTTGTACCACTCTGTTCAAACAATGACTCTCCCCTCCCCAGCAGATTCTGGAGATTAAATACGCACAGTCCTCAGACAGATGCACATGAGGCGTTATTTGCAGTCTTCCAATATGGCTCCTTAATAGAAATGCAAAGACCTGTCACACAGCAGCATTTAATAAGTCATTTACTACTAGATGAAATGTTGTCATTGAGTGATGCAATTGTCCCCCATATCCTGAGCATAACGGTCCGACATTATAGTCCTTAATTCATCAATATCTTTTCGTAATTGACAAACATCCAAGAGCTTCTTTGAAAGAGTTTCTGTGCTGTGGTAATTTTCATTCTCTTCAGCTGAACAGCTCAGTGCTACGAGAAACAACACCCAAGGTTAAAGCTGTAGTAACTGTACTCGGTGAATGCTTCAACTAGTCAGTCCCCTTTGACATAAGGGGTAGGCCACTTTAATTACATCAAGACAAACCGGGCTTTAGTATGATGAAAAAGCCAATAAAACATGGTACCATGTGAACTTGTAAGTCAATTCAGAGCCCATCAGTGCTCCTCTGAAAGACACTTTTCTGAAGTCTGATGGATCTCAACAGCAGTGAAAAAAATGGGTAGAACTGCCATTTCCTGTGTAACATTATCTAGGTGTTCCTGCTCCGGCAGGGGGATTGGACTAGATGATCTTTCGAGGTCCCTTCCAATCTCTAACATACTGTGATACTGTGATTTCATAGAAATTTTGGAGGTTACTAACGCCGGTTAGAAAAGAGGGATAGGAGGGCTTTGGAAATGAGGCCATGTAAGATGATGACAGCACTACAGACATGTTGCAAACTATTCTTCCTGCTGGCTGACAATGGCTTCAGGGACTTTGAGATGGGCATATGCTGTACTCCTCAGTACTTTAGGGGGCTACAGTGCAGATGAGTAAGTCTATGTGGTATGTAGTAGCTCTTGTGGCAGAGGACACTGTACTTTTACATTTCTACCTTGCTGATAGATTCACTGCTGAACTGGACCATCTGGTTAATTCTAATTAACATTCAGAAACAACAGAATATGATACGTTCAGGTTAACACCATGTAATTGTCTATTAAGCTTCTTAAAAGAAAAGACCCAACAAAGTCACTATGCTGAAGCTTTGTCTGACTGGTATGCTTCTCATTTCCTTGGTTAAGTTTAACAGCTTAGTAAGTGCTGAATACAAGATGTGCCATTAATAGTACTGGAGATGGAGTTGCCTGGCACTAAACTTATCTAACACACATAGACACCCCTACCCCAAACTAGACATGAACATGTTCCAACAGTGGATGTATATTCCTATCACTTGACCCCAAAGGCTTTGAAAAAAAACAAACCCACATGATATAGCCACAACATGCTTCACCTCAAGCATAATGAGTTGATAGAGCAGAACGCATTTGACAAAAAAGCATCCATTAGCCCTCAGGTGACTGCAGTGTGTCTCAGGAGGGAGGGATGGACACCTGGCTACATGCCATTCTTTTCTAATGGGTGAACATATCCATGACTGGGCCATATGAAGAGCCAGCTACCAGCTCTCCTGACTTGGCAAGGACCTCTGTAGTTATATGCATTTAATGGCCCAGGTGCCCTGTAAGCCCAGCTTTTCTAGAGTGCTCCAGGCATACAGTTCACACCCAGCTGCTCCAGTTGCATTAAAGGGGGACACTGGCCTGTCCAGCTGGCAAGTTCAAGCACTACTCAGCTAAACTGTTATTCCTTTGTGTCAAAACACTATTAAGCACTGGAATGCCAACATCACTTACATCTGATTCCCAGCAGTAAGGAAAGGTTAGGCTCCTTGCCCTGAGCTCTCTGGGTAAGAATACTGCACAGTGCTTTCAAGTCAAATAAACAATTGGACATTTCCTTGAACAACTGGTCTGCGATAGGCATCTTCTCAGATACTGGTTGCCTGGACTGCTCTATCTGCCGCACCTGCTCCTTCAGGCAGGCGTTTTCTTCCATCAGTCTTTGGTTCTTCAAGAAAAGTAAATGGGAAAAAGGGGAAAGTTAGTCTGCACCATAAGTTTTCTGTTCCAAACCACACAAAAAATAAATATTTAATTTCTATGCATGTAATCCATATTTCTGTACCCCTTCAAAGAATGGCAGATAGACAGCTTTTACATGGCTATTTCATGTTACCATTGCTTGAAATTCTCACTTCTTAAGGTTACATCTGCATGGTAGACACTGCAGCACAGTTAAGTATGTAATTAAGCTCATAAAGCCCTACCATGGGATTTTATAACCATTCTACAAGGCACTTCCCAGCTGCTGTGGTGAGGGGTTGGGTTACTGGAGTTTTTACTTACTTCAGAGAGAGCTTTATTTAACTGCTCTATATTCCTTTCTTTTTCTTCAAGCTCATTTGTCATCTTCTGAACAATCAGCTTTTCTTGCAGAAGCTTCTCTTGCATAGACTAAAATGAATCAAAACACAGGTAATGATTTTAAATTTTTGTACTTTATATCAAGCACTGACAAAAAAGCATCCATAGTAAATTTGTATGCTTCATGTATTTATTGTTTTGTATTAATTCTTATTTTTTTATTTTCTATCATGTTGCACCTAGTAATAGTCAGATGGACCCTGCCATCTCTCTGCAGACTAACACAGCTATTCCAAGTGTCAGCAAAACCCTTTAAATAAGTAACATCTGTTTAGAAACAAGACAACTGTATGTGTGCAAAATCTTACTCTAATATGGAATGCATGAAGTCTAAAATAACCATGCAATATTGTTTAACAAAAAAATTTCCTTTGAAATAAACAGCAGATTGATGACAGCTAAGCTTCACTGTGCAATTCCAGCTTTGGAACTGGAGATTTTATTTTGCCTCTCATTTCAACACAGACTATGGCAGGACTTCCTTCAACCTTTTGTAATACAGAATTCACCTTCTAAACAGCTGAGAAGAAAGCCTTTGACAGTTGATACACAGCAGCAGCATCTTTAAAAACATTCACATACAAGATAAAAGAGTCTACACAACTCTGTTGAAAAAACAACTGCAGACAAAAAAGTAACTTATTTGTAGTTTACAGTGTCATTTTTAACAGATACAATAATTACTATTTAAGTAATGTAAACAGCAAATTTCTAGGATGCTGTTGTACTTAAGTATTGGAGCTTTCCATGACTGACTTCCAGACCAGTCACAAGCAGCAACAAATGAACAAGCACTGCAGCATGGCATCAACTGCTGTCAATTCCACAGTTTTCGCCTAGAGAGCTGAAACCAAGAAATCATGAGATATTTCCAAAGTAGATTTTCTTTTGGGGTGAATTCAGCATGGCCACAGGTGTCTGCTGTTAAAAGCACTCGCATTTATTTCTCTAGTGGCTTTTAGATCAATATATATGTCTTTCAAGGTCATCTGGCAAAATGTAGAAAGAGGAATAGTCAAACCATCTTATCTGAATATTAATAACAATGAATAGTGATTATATAAACTCCTGAGGCTTTAAAACAGAGGTATCTTTTCAGATTTCATGAAGAAAAAAACCCTCTTTTGTTGTTAATGTTATTGCTCACAAATCCAACGTTGTGCTAGCACAGTGCATACAAAGTGTCCTCTCCGTCTCTAACTCAGCACATTGATATGTAAAACCTGTTGCCCAATCTCAATTATAAGATACAAATCCGATCCCATCACACTCAAAATACAGCTGAAGCACTGGTAACAACAGTGTACACCCTGGCACAGTTTTGATTGTAACCCTCCAAAGAGTGAAACCATAGACCATAATGAGGGGAGGAAAAGAAGCATTTCATAAACCAATTTATGGAATGACACTGTCCCAGAAGAATGTTTTCTGTTTTTTTGTTTTTTCCCTTGAATATTTGTAGGAACAATCCTAAAAGTTCTTCCAAAGCAGACAGCTCTCCCATGGGGAATTCTAGATGGTAGCTTAAATAAAATGCTATAGAAAGATCAAAGTAACTCTTTAGTAAAAAGTATGTTTAAATTACTGCACCATGACTCTGTAACTTTAATCAGAGACAGAAAAAAAAAACCAAGCTCCCCTCTTGACAGAACTACAACAAACTTTGTCGATCAATGCTGGTTTGGGGGTCTTAGGAAAACTATTTAGCTTTGGAAAATATGTGGAATTTATTCTTGCGGGAGTTGTTCCTAAGATTTATAAAGAATAGAACTTTCAGGTACCAGTACTGAGGACTGTATTGTCTATGTACAGGCCTGCCCTTTACCATGTTTGTGGCCTAGAGGGTGGATGAGAAGCTATGTAATTGATTTGCCAGCTGAAAGAATTAGAACTGTCAAGAGGCAAGGCAGGACTAATTCAGAGCAGAGTTTTTCATGGCCTTCCCACTCACGGGAGGTGTGCAGCCTTGACAGAATTTCCCAATGCATTCACTACTGCACATTCAATGCTGCACTGCACAAACAGTGAGAAAAAAAAAGTACTTTCTTTTCCAGTTCTGCAACGAGTACGACAATGGTGCTAAAATATACTCACTTAATACACAGTACCCCCCCCTCTTTTCATATAAATAATAAGAATCAGCAGGCAGAAGCCAGAAACAACTACTTGTTTTAAAGAAACATATGACCTGCTTCTCAGTTCATCCACACCGCACCCCTCAAAAGGAAGAGCTGAAGTAATGTGCATCCTAAAGATAAGCGGTGTGAGAAAGCGCAGGTTCACACTCCAACTGGAGGACGGGGAGGAAGAAAGAAGGCCCAGAACTACGTCAAAGGAAACACCCTGGGCAGGGAGAGGGCAGGAAGTAGCTCTACTTCAGGCATTTCCTTTGTTGTCCTTGCAGATGAGCAGAACCTGTAAGTGGTGTTGAACAGTCTTTAGTTTTTTAAAATTATCTACTAACAAAAATGGCCACACTAGTTCAGACTGAAGGTCCCTCTAGTTCTGTCTGTGGCACTGAATGATTAGGAAGGAGAACAGGGCAACACAAGTGCCCAAAACACCCTCCCAGCTTACAAGTATCCTCAAAATTTTAAGTCTTTGATGAACAGCACATTCAGGGACACCCAGAGCCCCAGTTACAATCCATGCCTTAGTACTAGCACTTACACATCTAATGTTCATGTCAACACCAGACATTATAGGTTTGACTGTGCAGCCTTCCTGAGGATGGGCTCAGGTTGGGAAGACAGGCTCAGAAATATTACCTCCTCTAGTGTATTTTCAGAACTACACCTGTCATTAAATTTACATCACTTGCAAACTACTCCAAAACCAAGTAGAGCATTCCTAATTATGTGCACATGTTCAGCTCATGAGTTGCACTTTTTAACAGGAACTATTAGATGTGGAAATCACTGTTTATTTCTAAAAGATAACCTAGCATCTATCATTCTCTGCTACCCTAATTTTAAGCGCATGTGCTTACCAGCCTGGCTGAGCCCACAGTGCTATGACCTCCCAGTTGCTCATAGTATTACAAGTCCTTTGTACTTCACCCTTAATTTTTCCATATGCTTTCCAAAGTTACAGTTTGGTGGCATTACCCCCAGCCTGACACAGTTTGGGTTTATTGTGGCTGAAGGATTGACAGATGTACTTTGGGTAACACAGACATCGTTTAATCTGATTTATTTCCACTGTCTTTTATTTTGTACCAAAAAAATGTTTATTTTGTGATATTGAAATTAATGGTGTAAATACAGGTTTTTTTTGAACACCACTGCAATCTATAGTTTTTCTTTTTCTGAAGATGCCCTATATATGCAACCACAATTACGAGCAAATAGAAACTAGCATTGCTTCATACGCTGCTGTCTGAAACAGAACTTGTTTCCAGCTTGCAAGTTAAAAACAGTGAACTAACATTCTCAAGCATAAGTTTATAATGTGGCAGAAGACGACAGGGAATAAAATGAGATCTGAGCTGAAGATAAATTGTACTTCTCTGCTGATACAGGATTTCAGTTTCTAATGACTTAATTTTCAATGCTTCCCAAGGAATAAACATGGAAGGCCAGGGAGGTCAAGGATTCAAAGAAGCTGCTGTAGTCTACAAGTAATTTGAGGGCTAACATCATTTTCAAATCTTATTTTCTGTCCTTATACAAAATACCTCAGAAGAAAAAAAATAAAAGAAAGTTCTGGGGAACAGAACACTATTCACAGACTGTCACAACTATTCAGCATTTCCTACTCTCAGCTCCCCAAAGTCACTTCAGACTAAGCACACAAAACAGCTAACTGTATAAATGTGCACAAAGATCACTAGTTTCAAGATGAAGGTGATGGTTAGAAAAAGATCAGAAAGGTTAGGAAAAAATTTAGATTCGTGATAATACATTTAGGCAAGTTGTGCATATTTCTTAAAAGCATATTTCTAATAAACATATACACACAGTATATATGTCAATAATCTTTATTTTTGCATGTAACAGGCTTCTCCATGAAAACATCAGTTTGATAAATTGTATTCTTCAAACCTAAAGAAGCTTAAATGATCGATTTTGCTTTTCAGTTAACTGGTGTATGCTATGCTACAACTTAAATTCCCCTACTACTTCTCTAAAAATGTATTTAATACATTAATTTCATCAAACAAAAATATGATTGTTGAAGGAATCAGGCCTGCTATTTACCTGCATGGTAGAGAATGGAAGCAATTTAATTGTAGAAGGCAACTTACTTTCAACAGCTACAAATAAGCAAACTTGGCGCTAGTGTGCAAACAAGAAAGCACATTCATTTAGTGAGTGTTATGCAAGCTGTTTTGGGTATCTTGATTATCTGGATACTAGCTCCACAGAATGCTCCTTTCCACTTTGGAAGGAGCAGGCATTCGGCTGGTTGGTTACTACCATTTTGCTGTTCTTCCAACGCTAACCTACTCAGCCAAAGCAGAAGCACCTTCTTCATTCTCAAGGGACAACCCTGTAACTTCAGTCCCTTTGGAGGGCAAGGAAGCAAAAAGTGTGGAGACAAATGCCAATCTAGAAGTATGCAGAAACTAGAGTTTACTGAATTTGGCTTCAGTATTGGCTGAAAACAGATGCTTGGTGTTTTAAATGCTCAGCTTTTTCAAAAGCAAGTCATACCTTCTTAGCTATAACCTGCATAATGTTTCCTTTTCTCCACAACAAACACTGGTCACTAAGTAACTCTGAAGTCTCAGGAGCCCAAGGTGTTAATCTGATCCACAGAGCTGCAACTGACTCCTAGCTGACAACCTCTGCTGTTTTGAAAAATCCTTGGCTCCAAGCTAGGTGCCCAAGATCTGCCAAGAGAGTTAAGATATCTGAGTGAGTGATGTGTCAGAAACCAGTTGAACAGGGACTTTCTTAAATGATGTGTAATGCAAAGTGGTACAGTTTAGAAAGGTACCTGTCTCTACCACGGGCTCAACAGTGAAGCTCCTAATCAATATCACCTTTTGTACTTTGGATATCATCTGAACCCCAAAGCTGGATAAGAGGCTTTACTGTTACTTACAGAAACAGTCCTCACATTTGAAACAGGCAGTTCTGATACGATATCCACTAGACCAGCAGAATAAGGATACTACATAGCAACAGTTTTTCACTTTATCAGGAGCACCAGAAGTACTAAACCATACAAACATCAGTGCCCACCACATTATGAGCCTGTAAGAAAACACGTCAATTACAGGCCGTAAGATTAAGTTCTTGGAATTTCTACCTTTGTCTCCTATTTGGGAAGATATTTGGTGAAATTCACACTTCAGTAATGTTATCTTTACAAACTGAAAATGTACAAAAGTAAACAACAGAATATACACTGTTCCTTACCTGCATGTCTAAAATCAGTCCAGCTATCTGATTTTGTTGATTGTCTATGACCTAGAATATAAAAGTGAGTAATGTAAAAGGCTGGAATCTCTAAATACTTTTTTGTTTGTTTGTTTAATCAGCTTACAGGTGTGTAGCCATAGATTTTAATGGAATATTTGAAAATGTAAATGACAGGAGAGTTTAACTCTGTCAGAACAGGAAATTCATGCAAAATAAATGCAGTGTACAGAAACAGACAGACACTGAAAAGAAATCTGAATTAGCAACAGATGTGTAATTCTTTAGTGAGAAATTTATTTCTAAAGTAAAAAAAAAAAAAAAAGAAATAAAGAACTCAAGGTTAAAGATGCCAACAATGGATTACTTGCAGACTAACCTTACTGGCTTTCTCATTCTTTTCTTTGAGACATTCATTCTCACTCTGAAGCTGTTTTGTGTCCAACATGGGAAGGCGAATACCATCTTCCAGGCATTTTTCTACTTTTTGTTGTAAGCTGTCATTTAACATGAAAGAAAAATTAAGTGTGCTGAGAGAAACGAGGAGAGCTGTGTATTCTAGGGAAAAATTAGACAGTTGCACCATCTTCCAACCAGAACTGTTAAACCACACCTAGCAGAATCCAGACTTACAGAAGAGCAAACCAACAGTGGATGAATGATTGAAAAATCCTGAACTACTGAAGTGTCTGTGGCACCGTCAGGAATAGATTCATGCAGGAAAGGTTTTATAGGCCAGATTTTGTGCTACATCTCCCAAAAGGCACAGCTCCATCAGTTCAGTGTAGAAAAAGAAAGCAGACAGAAGCAAAGAAACTTTGTGGTTTTCATGGCTGCTCTGCGCTACTTTGGGAGGCAAGACAGCACCAGCATAGATCAATGGAATCTTCAAACCTCCCAAACTTACAGGTGCTTTAAAACCAGACTCTCTTAAAGGGGCATACACAACTCAAAACGGAGTCCAGAATGAGATGTTGCACTGACTACCGGTGGCCTATGCTTCAAGCCCCCTGTGACTTTTAAGAGGGAGCATTAAGAGCTGGCCGCTCTTGCCAGCTGCTCCCACACAAGGGAGCATAATCTTCAGACCCTCTGCAGTTTAACTCAAGCTCCTAGGTGTAGCTAGAGCCTTTGCCTGCTCACCTTGTCTCAGAAAGGAAATACATTTTATAAGTGTTTATCTTGCTGTTTAATTTAGAAACCAGAGGCCACCTCAGCTATTTGTTGGCTTTCAGAAAGATCGAAATGATCCCCCTCTAGATTATGAAGGCATGGAGAAAAAAGGTCTTTCATTGGTAAGAGGGAAACAATGTGTCAACAATTTGGTTGGCAAGGTGTCCCAACCAGCTTTCCTTTCATCATGGAAACACTTTCAGTCTCTTGTGGCATGCACCTTTAACCAATGGAGGGAGGGGGAACTGTAGTAACACACACATAAATTACTAAAAGTGACTCTCTCCTTCTTCTCCCTTCACCCTCTAAAAACGTTAAGAGTTTAAGTAGCTCCCCTGATCTAAAATGTCTCCATGCCTCATCTGAAATCTTCTCATGGATATCTGTCCCATTTCTTTTGCAGTTATGGAAGTCCAATGGCAGCAGATCAGCTACATCTGATTCTCCCTGTAAACACCCGCATCCTCAGTGAAAAGGTAAGAAACAGCTACAATTTATTTAAATCTTTGACCCTTCCCTGATACACCTGTCAGCTATTTCCAGGGAGCTTTTCCACAGCTGTGACAGGATTAGTTATCAAATAGGAGTGCTGACAGCCCCTATGCAATGCCCCTTTGCTGCACATGTTTATTCCATCCTTTATTTGGCAGCAGGGATGCCACTGCAGTGGTGTTCCACATCTTTAAAGAAAGGTAGAGAAGAGTGTCTAAGTCAGCCTCTTTCTTCTCTGTGGTATTACTTGCAACTTGACAAAAATAAAAATCTTGTTGAATTTTTTACCGCGTTACACTGTCATTCTGCATAGCAATACCTGAAAAATCACTAGCATTGTAACAGATTAAGAGCGCAAATAACATCAGGTAGGAAAGTTCATTTGTTCCCAGGCACAGGCCAAGCAGCTGTTCATACCTCTGTACTGTTGTGACCAGCTCTTTTTCTTTTTTCTTCTGACACACCAGTTGCAATTCTCTCTCTCTGCACTGTGATCGAGCCTCTCCAAGCTTCTTTTCTAACTCAGTCATTGTTTCTTGAAGTTGCTTGTTCTTCTCTTCTAGAATTTGCAGCTAACATAGGTTACATTAGTTAGACATGATGCCACATTTGCAGAAGGCCTTACAGCAGGCCACAGCCTTGCAGTTACCTTCTATATGATCTTAGGCCCATTTCTGAGCATGAGAAACCCTAGTAGCTACAAGTGCTTTCTAAAACATTGAAATACCTCTCTTCCTAAACAGAGGGAAAAATATGTTAAAACAGTAATGTTTGATAACAGATACTAGGCAGCTTAATTGTATTTTTAAAAAGTATACCAAAATCCCTTTACCTGTTTAGACTGCCCTTCTATATCATCCAGCGTTGGCAGGTCCGCCAGGTATTTTTCTAAGGTTTCAATCCGTTTCTGTTTTTCTTTGTTTTGCTCAGACTCCTTCTGGCATTTTTTTTTCAGGCTATTAATGTATCGGTCTCTAGTTTTAAGCTAGAAGAAATGAAGAGTACATATTTTACGATTACAGTGAAAAATAAACCTGCTTTGGAAGCAGAGCCTGGTCATTCTTCAAGAATTGTACTCTCAGCTGCATGAAAGGGTTGGTTACTACAGAAAACAAAACCAAACAATGATTAATCCCAGCAGCTCCAAGTCATAGATGCACGTGTAACCTCAAACCACAGTTGCTTCACCTCTCTCCAGAGCACTCCACCTGCCTTGTAAACTGAAAACACAATTCAACAATTAAAAATATTCTTAATTTTTCCACCAATGGAGACATTCATATGCAACAAATGGTCAGGAAATATTTTAGTCCATCCTCTTCCTCTGGCCTAGGAAAACAAAAGACAGGGACCAAGAACTTCACCCAACAAGAACTGGAGCCAAAAACCTGACTTTGATGCAGTCTGACAACTACATCAGAGGACATCAGAACAGTGGCTTTTTTAACACCTTTCCTACGTAAATCTTAACTGTCCACCAGCCTGCAAAAGGTTTTTTATATTGTGTTATCTTTGCCTGCATTCCTGGTACTTACTTTGCTTTATTACCTAAGTCAAAAATGTGGAAGGCAGGGGAGAAAAGAGTATTTTCCAGTCATAATGAAATTTAATGAGAAACAGTATCTTTATTGCTTGACTAAGGTGTAGTAATTCACAGATAACAAACACTTGTCACTGTAGTAAGCGCTAAGTGTACTTTTATTTCAGTGCTTCAGACATCCATCTCACTGAGAAACAAATGTATGACACTGTCAATGTCAGAGCTCACTAACAGAGCCTAATGAAAAGTTTAACTCCGTAATATGTGGAATTTTTTTCCAGAGATAGCCTTCTAGGTGGGGCCCAAAACTCAGGACTGCCAAAAGGCTGGGAATCTTTATACCTTTTATTTTATCAAGACCTCAAAACTGAACTTAAGGCAGTGATATAAATACACACACATAAGACAATGTTGCACGGTCAGAATTGCCAGGAGTCTGACAGTTAGCTAAGTGAATCCTTTCTCTGTTTCTCACATACCACTAAGGATGACAAGCTGACCAGTCAGAATACTCCAGTAACTGTGTGACAAGATTACATGGTTTCCAAATCTTCTTGTCCTGCATACACAGCATAGGGAATTTCCTCATCTGCAACTTCTCTCCTTCTAATAGCTACCGTGTTTGCCTTGGATTCCTCCCACCCTCTCTAAATCCCCAGCATCACCCCTAGAACTCTTTCCACCTTCTGCTGAGATGAAAAAAAATTGTTGCCTTTTTTTTTTCCTTGCTGTTCACTCTTGCTGACTCTCATGAGGGGAAAACAAGCTTTGGATTTTGTTGTTTTGTTTGTTTGAACTTCCTCCTCCATACACAGGCAGCTGTGTGTTAGACGTCACTTCATTGCTCCTACCCCTGGCACCTACATTAATATAAATACAAGCCCAGTAGTAAGGCCCAGTGATGAAAGAAGAGAGAGTAACAGTGACAATGTATCCCTAGACCACTTAATGGAACCACTTGGTCGATAGCATATTCTTGCTTGCAATAAAGGCAGGTTGTCAGACATTCAAAACTTCCACTGGATATTGCTTCAGCCTCCAAAAAAAAACCCTTGTCAACAGAGTTCTAAGAACACAGCTATCTAAGCCCCTTCCTTCTATGAGACTAAAGTCTACTTTGCACATCCTAGCAAAGCTACAAGAGAATTGCTCCTGCTGAGTAGGCACATAAAGGCTGGTAAGTGCATCTCAAATCATGAGAGCCACATCTACAAACCATGTTAAAAATAGGGATTTAATTTTCATACTTTCTATGTTTTTAAACAATATTTACTGTAATTATACTTCAAGCTACATGAATTCTTAGAGCTGAGCAGCTTTTCTTCAAGGCAAGTTTAACTGATACCTGGTTAAAACAGTCAGCATGATTGCTATTTCATCTTGTATCACTTTTTGGAATACATTAACTACAAGCTCAGATTTATCCATTGCCAACACCTACAATCACCATCTATCAATTTTTTGATACAGGTAGTTTATCTACCATTTGAAAATAGCTCAGCAATGCACATACTAAGTTGCTTTCTAGCAAAACAAAACATACACTGCTTTAACAGTGTTCTAACAAAAGGAAATTTGGAACATGAAAGACACTTACTTTCTCCTCCATCTTCTTTTTGTCCTCACTGGATTTGTTTGAAATTAGTTTTATAAATTCACTGAGTTGTAATTCCGTATTTCCAGATGCTACAAACTTTCGCTCAAGCTCCTCAAGGTAGGATGCTGATCTTTCTGAAACATGAGACTGCAGCGGTGCACTCTCATACTGTGGTTGCTTATGAAAAGAAAGAAAATAATCACACAAATGAACACACACAAATCACCATATAATTGAGCAGCACAGCAGAACACAGTCCTGCACTTTTTTTTCCCACTGCCAGGAAGGGTGGGGTTTGATTTTCAAACAGTGAAACACATGGGTAACAGCATGTATTTCAGGGACCTGGAGCAAAAATTACGAAATAAGAAAAAAAAAAGAATCTGGACACATTTACATTCACAACACATGGAAATGAACAGTGTGGGGCCACTTTCCGCCTCAGATTTCTGGAACAGATGTGACTTTTTCAAAATGAACCCCTTGAAAAACCAAACAAAGTCTTTTCAAAACAAATCACTGCCATTGCATTATCATACCATACCCTAGGAAGAAAAACACTCTATAAAATGGCTATGAATATATTAAAGTAAAAGATACTCCAATCTCAAGATCTTTCAAAAGCAGAACATTAATAGTAGTCAAACCCTAGAGCTATCACATCTGAGGTGCAGAATGGTGCAGGGACAAACCTGAGGCTACAGCTATCAGAAGGCAGGCCTCCTACCTTCTGCCCTGTATACCAAACCCCTCCTCCCTTTCCATTTCACGAAGTTCAAAATTACTCTTCCACCTCCACTGCCCACAGAAGAGGACAAAATGGAAATCAGCTGCATGTAGGATTAAAAAGGAGATGCATCCCATTAGGCCTTCAGTTTCAAGATTCTTTAAGTAACATAAATTGGTATCTTTAAAGAAGTTATAGACAGTATTTTTAACTAGTAAAATTCCTCCAGCAAAGCATTAAAAGAGATTAAAACCTCCATTAAAGGAGATTTGCATTTGTAAGCTAATCTTACAGGAGACACACAAATCAAACAGAAATCCTATTACATTATAAACTTTTAAACTCTTTGAACTACGGAAGATGAATGTATCTGCTGCTTATTTGAAGTCTACTACAGTATACTAAGATATGTAAACTAAAATTTCAGTTTCTGCAGTATTCCCCCCCCCCCCCCCAAACCTTTATCTTGACAGAATTTTGAAGCATTTTCTAAAAAAAAAAGACTTCCAAAAGCACCAAAAGCCACATTCCTATATAACTAAAAATGTTTCTAGGTACCTAACTTCACACTGAGGCTTCACTGAAATTTCTCTCCTGTCTCACACAAACCAGATTTTCACCTGATGCACAGCTGTGCTACTCCAAGGACATAATTAATGTCACGCTGAAGTATGCTAGCTGAGATCCTGGTGCAGCATTTTTGACAGAAAAAGATACGGTAATAAAATGGGGAAAAAAAGATATTTCTCTGCATACCTGCCTCTAACATTCTCTTTTTGCCCTGCCTTTTAGATATGTCAAGGTCTGGAGATGGAAAGTGTGTACGAAAACAGAGTAGCAGCCACAGTCCTAAAATCTGCATTTCACGGTTAGCCTATGCTAACCATAAAAAATGCTTTACACTTTCTGTTATTTGCACTAGTTAGGTAAAAAGCGGGACAGGTATGCCCAAAATACCACCACACATTCCCTTTCAGAGTAAGTGTTCCCTAGAAATACTAATCCATATTCTTTTTAGGCATCTTGTGCAAAGTTATTCCACCAGTCTGCCTTCTCACAAGCTTCTCAATAGACTTCCATCTAGTCTACTGATACAGCCTAACCACTCCTTTGGATAGTAACTCCTTCTCCTCTTCAGAAAACTTTTTATCAATTGTTTTAAATAATCCTCCTTTCAAATTACTTTATCACCTAATATCTCCCTGTATAACTGTGCTACATGCACTCTGTTAAATCCTTATTTGTACAGTGTCACAATCCCTCATTCTTACCCCATTTTTATCAGATTTCAAAACAAGTATGTACAAAACGTTAACATAACTTAGATTTCTGTGAATGTAAGGTAAACTACAACACTCAGGAGTATTCTCCTCCATACAATTTATGGCTGTACAATTACACAGCCATCAATAATAAAAAACCCTCCACATTCTGGCCTGCAGTAAGTTGTGAACATGATTTTAGGTGTCAGTTACCGGGCAATGAAAAGCTTTGCTGAAAGAAAAATACCCATTCTACCTGCAAATTAGTCAGGTAAGGTTCTTCGCAGTTCACAAGATGGCTCAGTCTTGCATGTTGAGCTCGTAATTCATTCTCCCTTATCTTCTGATGCAAATTGTTAATTTGCTGCTTTTGCCTGTAATACAGAGATTTTGTTTGAAAAGAAAAAGAATGGAACAGAGATTAAAAAGACATAGATCTTAAGACTACTGTAACAATGTACAGTATTCTTAAGAATACTGTAACAATGCTATTTGACTATCCTGGGTCTACATTACTGTGAGCATTTTCCCATCAGAGCCAGACAGCAACTAGTCTAGTTTACCACTAGAACTGGAATCTCATCAGGTTATGAGCTATTAAACTACAGTTGCCATGTAACTTTCACTTAAGTACACCCCAGAGAACCAGTACTCAATTGGCAATAATAAGCAAATCTTGCAGATTTGAAAGCTTTATCAATTTTGTGGGAGGCTTTAGTTGTCATTTGCTCATAGGGCCAGAAGTGTAAACACGAAAAAGTACAGAGAAAACAGAATGAAAACAGAAACCCCTCACACCTTCATTTTACTTGGATTTCTGTTTAACCACTCTCTTGCCAGAGCTGACTTTTGACACAGGTTTAAAAGGTTTCTAAATCAAGGGGAACAAAATGTCATTATATAAGATAGTCAACACAGCTTCCCAGGAAAATCTTTCTTTTTGCTTTGCTTAAGATTTTCTCAAACAACTGCTTTATACAAGATGCACCATACCCCTACGGTAAAATACCATACTGCGTACTAAACCAAAATTAACCTCTTACAGCAATCACTTGGCCAGTGTGCAGCAGAAACAGTATCACTACTACTTCACTATTTAATTATATCACAAATTATATCACTATTTAAATCATGACTGCATTTGAACTAGCATGACTGCAGGGCAAATACAAGCCAGGTCTCAGCCCATGCCCAAATCAGAGAGCCCTGTGAGGTGCGCTGTACTCTCTGTAGAGCAACAGGTACCTCAGTAACTGATTCCAGACTGGAGTTGTCAGCACCCATCAGAAACACACAGAGCAACTTTCTTAATGAACTTAGAACGAATTCTGTGCACTCCTTTACTTTCCCTTTTTCCTTCTTGTTTTATACTAGGATGTATTTACAGGCAAGCATGCAAACTGTTTCTCAAAGCATCATCTCTAAGCATGCAGTATGATTGGCTTTTATGGAAATAATGATGCTGAACCAAAATGAGAAAACCCAATCTTAAGAGGAGATAAACAGCAAATACAGGTTAACTTCAAGGGAAAAGAACTGCCTGTGCACACACTGGAAAAGCAAATCCTCCTGAAGTAGAGAAAAAGACCAAAAGTCAGTTTGCTTTTTTTAAAAAATTTGGGGAGGACCATGTTGAGGAAGAACATCTTGGAAATACCATGAATATACAGAACACATATTATACAATCTATAAACAAACACAAAAGATGTATTAGTTGAAAAGACACCGTTCCAATATCTAGATGAAACAAGCTTGTACAAATGTAAAAGGAGTATCTAACACTGAAAGTCTGTACAGTTTTGGTTTGTGTCCCTATGGTGGCACTACAAACAAAAAGCTGCAAACTTACTTTGGAAGAAACAGAATTGCAGATTATGTAAAAGAATATGCTCTTAACTTATAACAGATCTTATATGAGCTCAATAATTTGTATATTTGTATGTGAAAAGAGAAAACCTTTATGACCTTTGTGCATGCTTGGTCACAGATATCAAAATTATTTAGTGTGAGTTGTCTTAACCTATGAACAGAAGTAATTTTAATTTTTTTATCACCTTATTACTTACTAGACAGATCTATTAAAATACCCTTGCCCCATGTGCTTTAAAATCACTTATCCATCTGTCACTTATCCCTTGAAGGCACTAAGTGATTTTCTGTTTGTGGCTGATTGTAACTCAGCAGTACCTTCCTTCACTTCAATAGCTTGAACTAAACGCCACAGCCTGGAGTAAATGTTTCAGAGTATTTCTGAACTTCCAGTGTAGTTTGAACTACATTACCATATTTCCTTTCATAATCCTTTTCCTACCCTACCAAATCCCTGCAGGAAAAAAGGTGAGACAAATTAATCCGTGATGAAACAGAGCTGCTCTAGCACAGAGTGTAACCAGCTTGCCTCTTTTCACTCTGCAAAGCATGAAACTCTCCACTGTTACAAAACCCTGCCAACAAAACACACCACAGAAATATTTTAAGGCTGTGTAGATCCCACACAATACTTCTTCACATAACTGCCTCTCTGAAAATACCATTAACCTCATGGCACCCAGGAACAAAAATTCTGAAAACAGCCCAGCAGTCACAAGCAGAACAGAAGATAAACACCATAGAAACATATTTACTATTTACATACAATCTCATAAGTCTTTGGAGACTTCATACCAGATGCATTTTATCACTGATGTTCTCATATGCTAAGACAGTTTTAATCCTCTGTTAGCCCACTGCTGTTACTATTAATCCACTGCATAACCACAGGCTGTGAGCTCTATTTAAAGGGAATGTGGAAAGTTCAAATGGCTCTCACAAACACAGCTCACGTATTACAGCAGGAACACTATCCCCAGAAGCCTCCCTAGCACCAGTCAATCATCCCAACACTTTCAAAAAAAAACCTAAAACAACCAACCTTCAGCATTTAGGTGCTTTCAAGATTCTGCTCAGATACATGGCAACTGCCCCTCTGAGTAGGCCAAAGCCAGATATAAATGATCCTGAAACTGAGGTATTTTACCTTCTAGACAGGTATACTCTCATGAGAATGATGCTCTCACTTTGTATGTTTCTACATGCAGTGTTTATAACCTCATATGCATCCTTTGTGTTCACAGAGGGCCAGAGTAGAGCAAACTGAAATTCTCTAACTGCTGTGACCAGAGTCTCCTCCACTCTTCCCTTTCTCTGCTGCTAGCATCACCAAGTCTCCCCAGGGGCTCAAGAAGATTAAAAAAACCCTAGATTAACTCCCCCACCACCACCTTCCCTCCCTCTGACACTGGTGTTATGCAGCTGCACTTACACTGCACCTACCCTTTTTCCTGTAACTCAACACAGGAATTTCCAATCACCCAGTCTTACATACAGGACTGATGTCTTCAGACATTGAGTTCCTCAATCTTTTGTGATTCCAGAAGCCATCTGCATACAAGTGGGCACAGGCTGCAGCCAGAGCTCAAGATATGGGAAAATCTGACAGAAGCCCAACCTTGAGATTTGCATTTACAGAAACCAGACTGTAGCTCACACAACCAGGTTCAGTGAAATTACTGTGCCTAGGTACCACAGAAATTGCTCTCCTTCGCAAATCTTTTTTCCACGAATGTTACAATTCTATATTGATGGCAAAGTAAGAGTTATTGGCATATTATGTAAATGTCATGGCACTTCTCACATGGCTTCATTCAACTACTTTGTTCAAAGAGAAAACACTCTTTTACTTCAAATGTCTGCCTTGACACAACTCTAGCTCTTCCCCTCAGGCATAAAGAGAAAAGGAGGCGATACCCTTCTCTAACATCATCAGCCAATCAAAGGGATGTAGAAGGTGGAGAAAACTGTTAACAAAAAAGTCACAAAAGGCAGGAAACATAGAATAGAAACACAGAATAGTTAGGGTTGGAAAGGACCTTAAGATCATCTAGTTCCAATCCCCCTTGCCATGGGCAGGGACACCTCACACTAAACCATGTCACCCAAGGCTTCATCCAACCTGGCCTTGAACACCACCAGGGATGGAGCATTCACAACCTCCCTGGGAAACCCATTCCAGTGCCTCACCACCCTAACAGGAAAGAATTTCCTCCTTATATCCAATCTAAACTTACCCTCTTTAAGTTTTAACCCATTACCCCTTGTCCTATCACTACAGTCCCTAATGAAGAGTCCCTCCCCAGCATCCCTATAGGCCCCCCTCAGATACTGGAAGGCGGCTATGCTCCACGCAGCTTTCTCTTCTCCAGGCCAAACAGCCCCAACTTTCTCAGCCTATCTTCATTTTCATGAAAAACATCTTTTTGGGAGGGATACTTACAAGTATTCCTTATTTAAATTGATGTTTCAGAGGAACATGTCATGAAAAGTGTACAGACTTAACTCCTCCCTGCGCTGCTCCCAGATACATTCTTTTCCAGGGAATGCAGCTGAAGTGACAGGTTATCCAACATACTTGACTTAAGTGGAGGCTACTTGCTCTATGGTCCCCTATAGGCAGCTCTTTTGTCTCAATTCCCACGTTAGTCATTTACATTCTAGCTAAGTTATTTACACAAAACCCTACACATAGGGTTACAAAGTAACAACTTTGGCTTCCAGTTGTTGTAAAACACACACACCTTTTGTTCTCTTTTCTTCTGTTTCCTCAAACATTCATTATTTTTGCAAACAAAATTTCAAGGCTCAGCTGTGTTTCACTACTGCAGATCAATGATACTTTGTAAAGGAAGGAAAAGTTAAAGACCTGTCATGGCGGATGGTACAATTCTCTTGCCTTTCCCAGCATTACCAGCTATTATCCCTACAGGAACTGTTGGCAGTAGAGAACAGGCCACCTGATGAAGATGTTGAATCTGAGTAATTATTTTTATGGTGTTTAAGGAGAGCAGTTCCCCTTATCTGACTTCCTGCCTGCCACAGATACTTCCATTCCCACAGAGTAATTTGTGCTGAGCCCAACAATTTAAATCAAACCGAAGCATGTCAATCATCAGGAAGCTGCTAAAAGCCCACACTCAAAAGACTGAAAGCAATGAAGTGACATATGTCAGCACAGTTCTGACAGGTCTCTGCCAGTGTCCTGCTGACGAAAGCAAAAGCCCTTGATCCTGAGTGCCACTGTGTTTGGGGAGAAAGTAAATTCTGAGCATCAAGTGTACAAAAAGGGTGGTTCACTAAATCTAGCTCAAACTTCTATCTTTCTGATGCTAACGGAAGGGGGGACAAAAGTCAATCCCAGAATACTTTCAACCAATTACACATCTAAGGAAAAAAACACTTTCTGAGCCTTTGCAAACTGCAAAAAAAGAGCCCATCAACTATCCCATTTTCTTGTAATGAGCATTAGTTGTGCCCTAACACTAAGTAACTGTTTCTAGC